TAAGGCTACTGGGCGTATAAGACGACCCCTAATTTTTTAGTTAAAAGATAGGGTTTCGTCTTATACCCCAGTGCCCCTCCGCCTCCCCGGCTTTGCTCCCGGTGTCCCTAGTCTGCTGGAGACTGTCCCCAGCAGACCAGGGACACCGGGAGCAAAGCCTCTGAGGACGCCCCGGCAGCGGGACAGCCCCGGGGCGCCCCGGCTGCGCAAAGCCGCAAAGCTGTATACCCGGCGTATAAGACGACCCCCGATTTTTGGGGGATGTTTTTTAACATCAAAAGTCGTCTTATACGCCGGAAAATACGGTATTTCCCCTGTTTCTCTCCCCCCTTTAAAAAGAGCAAATGAACTGAAAGGAAAGGCTGAATCATTGTGAGATGTTTATTGTCAGGACCACAAGTTAGGGGTATAGTGCACTGATAACTAGGGAGAGAGAAACATTTTTGTTCTGGAATATTGTGAAATCTTTTTTTAAACACCACATTTTTTGTGTCACTGGAGATGGATTTATTAATGGGCTGTACCTTTAGAACATCTATATATCTTATTAACAATAGTTTGATTTATGTGTGATCTGAACGAGTAACTTTTAACAATGTTACTTATTGTTTTATTTCTGGGAAACCTTAAAATGGAATGTATTTTCTTCTAGTCTTATGAGGTCACTTGTGTAACTCTTAACTTAGTTTGGAATAGCTTCACCTCCTCAGAATTATTTAACTTTTAATAAAATCTGATAACCAAGCTAGATGATCACATTGGTCCCAAGTGGCAATAAAACCTAAGTATCTAAGGGGAGAAATGTAACACCAATGTACACGTGACAAATTAAGACCTAGTGGAAGTGAGTGCAACTCCATTAACTTCAATGTAGAAGTACTTGCTTGAATTCTGGTCTGAATTTCATATTTAATATCTTCTTTTAGAGCTGATATGAAAGGTGATATGGCTAACATAACAGTAATTGTAATAGAGATGTAGCTGTGTTAGTCTGATCTTGCTGAAACAAAAGACAGCACTTTAAAGATGAACAAGATGGTTTATTAGGTGATGAGCTTTTGTGTGCCCAAGAAAGCTCATCACTTTATAAACCATCTTGTTCATCTTTAAAGTGCTGTCTTTTGTTTCGAAACAGTAATTGGGCTTCAGTGTAAGATAGTGAAAGTTACCTACCTACTAAACTCTGCTTTAATTACTCTGGTGTAAATCTGAAGAAACTGCCACCTTTTTAAAGGTTTTTAGGTGCGTATCTCCCATTGATTTCAATACTAGCTAGATGCCTAAAAACCTTTTAAATATGGCCCTTGTTCCACCAAATGAAGAGAACTGATTTGAGTTGACACAGATGTAACTGCTCAAAATGATCATGGTAAGAATGGAAAAGATAGTGCAAAGCTGGCCCAAAGCCCCAATTCGTTTAAATCACACTGACATATCTTCTGATTTACTCCCACCTATTTAGGCCCCTTTTTTTCTCAGGTATTTATATGTCCCCATGAGCACAGAATAGTTGTGAATGTATTTATCCTCAGAACAACCCTTAGCCCCATTTTACAGACAGGTAATAGAAATTCCATGATTAATTTCAGATCACATGGGAAGCCTGTGGCAGAGTAGGGAATTGAACCTGGCTGTCTTGAATCCTCGCCTCAGCCTTAACCTCTGGACTATCTCCTAAGCTTTGCTTTGCTATACTCCTATTAATAGGCCCATTATCTTCACTGAGGCGACTTGTGTCAGTACCATCCAGTGAGCCTGATTCTTCTGTATCCGGAGACACAGGAAGTAGGAGTGGGGGGGAGGGAAGTGGGGTGGGTGCAGCACCCAGCAGATTGTGTACCCTGCACTGGGGTCCCAGCCACCAGCTTGTGCACAAGGGGCCCCACTGCTACCCAGAGTCCTGGCTGCTGGCCTACAGGCTGCATTGCCAGTCGTCAACCTCCCAGTGGGGGTCCCAGCCTGGGATAGTGAGGGGTGCAGATGAAGTAAAACTGGGGGAGGAGGTGAGGTACAGCTCAGAACCCCCACCCTAAACATTGTTCTAGCACCACTGTCTGTATGGTAATATCATAGGGTTGAAGGCCAGAAGACCCCTGCAGATCATGCAGTGTAACTGCTGTCTGTCACAGGCTACCAACACCACACCAAAACTTCCGTGCTAGGCACCGGAATTAGACCAAAGTATCACAGCCCACAGGAGACTACCCTAGCCCGAGGATGGTAGGGACTGAGAGGCACCAAAGCCCAGGTTCCTGCAATGGCAGGGAAATGATGAAGCGAGAGATATAAGATGTCTTTGGTAGACCCCTTGTAGTCTGTGGGAGTCTTTCTGCTGACTTCAGTGGCCTTTGAATGAGGCCTCAGAGCCGTCCCATCTGTAGGACAGTGCAGGACAGCTGTCCCAGACACTGCATTTTGAGGGGCCCCACGGTGGCCACCTCTACCAGCCTATGGATGGGACGGGCACAGGGCAGCAGCACAGGTAACCCCGCCCTGCACTCACTCTGGTGGCGGGAGCTGGAACGGTCCAGCAGCCTGCTTTGCTCTGCTCCACCACCCCAACCTCTCCCGGTCTGCTGTGCTCAGCTCTTCCATGGCAGCAGGAGACGCCCTGGTCACAGAGCACTCGGCTTCCTGCCACTGTGGTGAAGCGAGGCTCAGTGGGCTGGGAAGGCGACATGGCACAGCAGGGTGGAGTGGAGCAGGCTACCATGCTACGTTGGCTCCAGCCAACAGGGCGTCCCCTGCTGTCGCCCCACACCTGGTAACTCATGGCTCGCATCGCATGGGGCAGGGAATAAGGGAGCAGAGCAGGGACAGGATGAAGTGCAGCGGGGAGGAGTTTGGGGGAAGAGTTAGGATGGGGAAGAGATGGCATGGGGTGAGGCCTTGGGCCATGTGTCCCATGCCCCCCTAAGGAGGGCTCTGTCAGGCCCTTACATAGTGTAAATCAGGAGAAATTAAGAGCTGCAGGTAAGTGGACTGATAACTGGCACCAGTGCAAATGAAAGACATAGAGCAATAATTGTTAACTTACATTGACTCATAACTTCTTTCTAGTTATTTTCCTTGCTGCTTCTCTGCCCTCCAGCTCCTTGGTGCACGAGTTGCACACACCAATTTGTAAATTACAAGACCTCTACGTGTCACCTTTGAATGTAGGCCAAGGAGTTTAAAGGTTCAAATCCTCCTTCTGGCGCAAACATGAGAAGTTTGGGAGATTTAAATAATAGACGGTTTCAAGGCCGGGGAGGGCAGCATAACAGGCATTTGCACCAGGCGCTCAGGCAGGTATTACGTTGAGGACAAATGATAGTGTTTTCAGCCATAATTGCAGAACTTTAACCCAATTTTCCCAGAGGCCATTAGGACAACATAATAATATGCAAGCTATGATGTATATTAACATACAGCTAGTCTTTGTCATTTCCCCTCCTTTCCCTTTTGCATGAGAGCTGGCAGCTTGCATTATCTAGTGGATGCTTATAATGGTTGTAGGGATGAGGGCAGTGCATTTGCAAAGTGTGTCATATACATTTCAGTGCCTAACTACAAGGATAAAACAGAAATTAGACACACTGCTGCCATGCTTTTAAGCACAAAATATTAGTATTTTATAAGAGTGAAGTTAAATTCCGCTTTTGGACTCTTCCAAATAACTGAGAAGACAGAGAGGATCTGATTCTGAGCTAATGTAATTTAGCCCGGCTTTCAGATGGGCTCTATGCCTCCTTTAGACTTTCAAGCAATCCCGGGCAGTTGGGGGCTAGTTATAGAAGTCCTGGGGGCCCCTCTGACTTTCTAGCATCAGTCCCTGAGAGACTTCTCTAGCAACCCAGAGCACCCAAAGCACAGCTCACTCTTGCCATACATGCTCTCACACTCAGTATGATCATTCCCTCCCTCCAGCACTATCCTTTCCTCTCTTCTTTTCCTGCTTTCCCTTTATTTTAGAGAGGAAATAGTTTGCTGCTGGCTCATGCTGGTTCATACTGGGATGCCCACTCTTCTATGTCTGACTGGCTGAGAGAGCCAGTGATTCCAAATCTTCCACGTGCCTTTCTCAAGGCTGCTTTTACTGTCAAGGTACAAATCAACTACAGCTTTATTTACCTTTCCTTGAGCACCGGTGACAGAGCGGAGGTGGAAGATACCGAGTGGGACAGATAATAAGAAATAATCTCCTCAGGAGTTTTGCACATCATTATTATCCCCTTTCCATGAGAGCCATATCAGCACAGGAAGTACTAATGACTCATCCAAACTGTCTTGGCCACACAGCTGTAAGGAAGGTGCAGAGTTTAGTCTGCATTTCAGGAATAGAGAACAGGCCTCATTTAATCAAAGAAGACAGCAGCAGGCATGGGGGTTCTCTCTCTCTGCCCGAACAGGAGCAGCATAGTTTTTCCGGAAAAACACTGACAATTTTACAGTAGATCGTCAGTGCTTTTCCAGAAATTCAAGGGGCCATTGTAGACAGCTGGCAAGTTATTCCGGAAAAGTGGCTGCTTTTCCGGAATAAGTGGCCCAGTGTAGACACAGCCCAAGATTTTGGAAAGTGGTTGAGAGCTACATTCTTCCAAGACATTAAGCATGAAATACAGCGTATGGGATGGACACTGGGAGAAGAAGGGAGCTGTGTTGCGAACAGGAACAGCTAACAGGGAGTTTGGAGAGGGAGATTAGAGGGCACTAGTGACTTCTGACCTTCTTTAAAACATAACTCTTAGAATAATCTATATTCCAGAGGTTTAAAAAGAATCCCAGTTTATACTTATTCTTATTCATTAGAAGAATGGAGACAGAATTCTAAAGTTGTGCTCCAAGTCATAGACACACTGGAGTCCATAGTGAAAAAAGAGCCCAAATACTTTTTTTAATGTACAGTATTAAGAAATCTACAAATAAAGGAGAGGACTGCTGCTGCTTCACCTGTAATAAGATACTGATCTAAAATGTATTTTACTGGTTTAGAAAAAAATGTAGGCTGCTATTCATTTCAAGCTCCATTAAATCAATTAAAATACCTTTATCAGTTTTGGTGAGGAAAGAACAGCCTTATATGGAACTGTAGGTGCAGTCAAAATGACAGATGCATTGTATTCTTGCTCCAATCGCTGATTAAAAACTTCCAAATGTAGAAGACCAAGAAACCCCAATCTGAAGAAAAAAAAAAAAAACCCCTTTTGCTGTTCACAAATGTGTACTGTATTCCTATGCATTATTTAATGAAGTTCTAAAAGATTAAATCATCTGGCAATGTCAAGCACAGAATAGGGATGTTTAAATTCATTTATTTGTGTAAATGCATATCCGCTTTTAAGTTGGCTCCCTGTGAGCATCGGCTCCCATTTCCTGCTTGTAACCTAGAGGGTTAACCAATGAGCCTAGGCTCACTAAATATTCACTGAGCCAGAGTGAAAACGGCTCCACAGCCTGGCAACTAAGGCACTCACCTGGGTTGCAGGTAAGAGATGCAAATTCAAATCTCCTTTCTGCCCAATTGGGATACTACCTTAACCCAGTGGTTGGTGAAACAGACATGCGCTCTTTCCCACCCACTCTTCCTTCTTCCCCCCAAAACCTCATCTCTTTTGGCAAATCAAATCTGAGAAATTTCTCCCAACTTTACTGCAAGGCTTCTCTTGAACAAGGACTGCTAACCAAGACAAACTGTGTGCTGTACATGAACATGGATTACAAAAAAGATCAGCCACTCACTTTAGGCTTACTATGAATTAGAATTTAAAACCCCAGAAGTAAAAAACAATATTATAAGATACTACCTAAAATTGAAGAGAATAGTAAGTGTAGTAAGTCTCACCTCCATCCAGCTCCTAAAGCAAGGCTGCTATCCCGATGAATAGTTACACTGGAATCATTTAGTGTCAGTTTTTCTATAGCACTTTTCAGGTTGTTATATTCTGACTGGTCTACTGGATACATTCCTGTAGTAACACATTACACTGTTCACATTCTGTCAAACAACATCACAAAGATCCTGATCTAGCTGAACCAATTTAAACCTTTTGAGCGATTTAGCTACTTCTTGACAAACAGGGTTTTATCTTTCATATACACCACAAAGTAAAGCAATGAATAAGGAAATCTGAATTAAAAATACTTTCCTTTCATCCCAATTTGCCTGTCCTACAGAAATATTCATCTTCTATAAAAGAGTTCAAAAGAACTGAATGCCCAGAGGTCACAATCTGAATAATTCACCAGGAAGAGGTGATTACATTTCAATTGCAACTTCACGGTTTTAGGACTACTTCAGATAGAAAGATCATGAAAAATAATTAAAACTCAAACCCGACAAATAAGATTACTTATGACAGCATTTCTCAAACTGGGGTCCACAAGAGAACTCCAAAAGGGTTCATGGGCTCTGCTGAATAACTCCTATAGAAAGTATATTACTACATAATGAATTCCTTATAAACAGAACTATTATTATCTATATGGTTCACGCATGGGTACAATCAAAGTTTGCTATTTAAAATCTATGATCTGGATACAAATAATCAAGTCTAATAATTGTGTGCAATAAAACTGGGAAACCATTGTATGCTGAATATTGCACCTTTGAGTTTTCTCTCCCCAGTGCTTGCTATATGTCAGTGGTGTTTATGGTTTTTATTTAGTTACTTGTATTTATAGTACCTAAGAGGTGGAGTAGTACAGTGAGTAGGAGATCTATTTTTAGTTCTGCCATTAACTGCTGCATGCCTTGTAATAACTTTTTAGGTACTTGAAAGCTGTTATCATGTCCCCTCACAGTCTTTTCTTTTCCAAACCCAGTTATTTCAATCTTCCCTCATAGGTCATGTTTTCTAGCTCATTCATCTTTTTTTTCTCTCTCTTTTCTCCAGACTTTTTCCAATTTGCTCACCTCTTTCCAGAAATGTGGTGCCCAGAACAGAACACAATACTCCAGTTGAGGCCGAATGAGTTCAAAGTGGAATTATGAGGAAAAATATTACCTCTCCTGTATTACTTATAACATGCCTCCTAATATATCCTGGACTGATAGTTTCTCCTTTTTTTGCAACAGTGTTACACTGTTGGCTCCTGTTTAGCTAGTGGTCTGCTCTGACCCCCAACTCTCTTTCTCTCTGCAGTTCTCCTTCCAAGACAGTCACTTCCCATCCTGTATGTGTGAAACTGATTGTTCCTTTTTATTGAATTAATTCTGTTTTCTTCAGACCATTTTTGCAGTGTGTTCAGATCATTTTGAATTATAATCCTATCCTCCAAAACACTTGCAACACCTCCCAGTTTGCTATCATCCACAAACTTAATAAGTTAACTGTGTATGTGTATGTCCACACTAGCCCCCTACTTTGAACTAGGGAGGCTAACGTAGGCATTCGAAGTTGCAAATGAAGCCAGGGATTTAAATATCCCAGGCTTTATTTGCATCTTCCCATCCGGGCGCCATTTTAAAATCCCCTAGTCCAAACTAACTGCCCGCGGCTACACACGGCAGTCAAACGTTAACTAAGTCCTTAGTTCGAGTTAACGTTTGACGGGCAGTTAGTTCGGACTAGGGGGATTTAAAAATGGTGCCCGGACGGGAAGTTGCAAATAAAACCCGGGATATTTAAATCCCGGGCTTCATTTGCAACTTCGAATGCCTGCATTAGCCTCCCTAGTTCAAACTAGGGGGCTAGTGTAGACATTCCCTATGGTATTATCTAAATCATTGATGAAATATTGAACAGAACCAGACCCAGAACAGATCCCTGCGGGATCCCACTTATTATGCCCTTCCAGCATGACTGTGAACCATTAATAGCTACTCTCAAGGAACAGTTATCCAACTGGTTGTGTGCCCACCTTATAGTAACTCCATCTAGGTTGCATTTCTCTGGTTTGTTTATAAGAAGGCCTTTTGAGACTGTATCAAAAGCCTTAATAAAGTCTAGATATACCACATCAAAGAAAGCTATCAGGTTGGTTTGACATGATTTGTTCTTGACAAATCCATGCTGTTACTTATCACCTTATTATCTTCCACATGTTTTCAAATTGATTCCTTAGTTATTTGCATCATTATCTTTTCTTGTGCAGAAGTTCAGCTGGCTGGTCTGTAGCTACCTGGGTTGTCCTTTCCCTTTTTATAGACTGGCACAATAATTGCCCTTTTTCAGTCTTCTGGAATCGCTCCTGTCTTCCATGACTTTTTCAAAGATAATAGCTAAAGGCTCAGATATCTCCTCAGTCAGCCTCTTGAGTATCCTAGGATGCATTTCATTAGGCCCTGGTGACTGGAAGACCTCTAATTTGTCTAAGTAATTTTTAACTTGTTTCACTATTCTAGCGTCTGATCCTACATCATTTTCACTAGCTTCTCTATGTCTTGTCTGCTTGAATCGTAATCCCCTCTGATCTAGGGTAGTCTCTTGATATTTGCTCACACAGCACCTCACGCAATGTTCTGACCGCAGTTGGATGCTATTGTCATGTAAGTTATTGCCCTATGGAGCTAGACTGAAACATCCAGTAGCCTGAATTTGTTCCAGCTTTAGAATAATTGTGGTCACATTCTGTAAGAAAAATGGCAAGCTCTTTTGGGAGTGATCAGGTGTTTCCCATAAGGTATTTGCATTCAAGTGATGTACATAGAATTGCAGCAAATTGATACAAATGGGTTGCAGCAGGGAGAAGAATTATGCATCTTATTAAACATGTGCATTAGTCTGCTTGGGTTTGGGAGAAGAAGCCAAAATATTTGCTTAAGTGCCAAGTGGAGTTAAAAGAATTCAGGAAAGGAACTGGTTTGACAATAATTTTGGTTCACAGATTTTTCTTGATGTGAAGCTATTCATCATTCCAGCTGTCCTAGGTTAATTAAACTGGGTGGGAGAACTGCTGAGTTTGCACTATGGGGAGTATCCAGTGTCTTATAGGCTGGCGATTTACAGTACGGGAACTTATGATTAATGAAATGATATTTCTGAGGGGGTTTCTATTATTTTTTTATTATAGGCAGGTCTTTTCTCCTGCTTCATATAACTGGCAAGGTCTGTCAGTTAGGAATTACAAAACTGAACTGCTCATGAAATCAAGTTCCAACTTATGGGGCATCACTGAATTTCATATAGAGCACTAAGGTAGAGAAACAAAGGCTTCCGGGAGGTGAGGGCTCAGATTCTCCATCAGCACAGAAATAAACGTGTTACACAAGGGGGTTCAGCATTCTCTGACGGCTGAATGATCTTCTGGCAGCACCATCCCCAGGGGCCATGCCTCATCCTAGAATAGGTTCTGGGCCAGGGTCCTTACACCAGGAGGTGCAGTGCGGTATCCTTGTGGCAGTTGTACACACCCAGGGATACACATTTTTGCCCACTTTATGCCTCTGGAGTAATAAGAGCAAGACAGAACTGAGAGTCACCTCCCAGACACTTACATACTTATGTATATTCTAGCAGACTTACCCAGCATTGCCTGGGTCCTTCAGGGCAGGGGGTGGCAGTGGAGGCTGCAGGAGGTAGGGCAGGGCCTTGGGAATGAGGAGTGGGGGAGTGAAGGAGGTTGGGGATGGGGTGTGAGAGTTGGAGGTGAGGAGCAGCTGAAAGCAGGGGCCTTTTTTCTCACTCTGGCTACCAGGGGCCTTTTTTCTCTCCCTCCTCTAGCTCTGTGCCCAAAAGCAGGGGGGAGGGGAGGGACAGGGTTTAAGGATGGGCACACTGCTTACTTGGTTGACTGGCAGGTAAGATAGCAAAGTTCCAGCCCTGCTAGCTACTGTTTTGATGATACAGCTGCTCACAGTGGACCCCCTGCAGGAAGCTCTCCCCTGCAAGCTCATTGTCCCCAGTGGCCATTCTCCTGTCACGTCCCTCTGAACAGCAGCCCCTCCCTTTGCATGCTATGGAAAAAGTCCTTTTGCCAGGGCTTTTGATTGTCCTGGTACAACCCAGCCTTGGCCTTCCTTTACGTTAGGAGAAGAGGAAGTAGTGTACTACATTTGGTGGCCTAAGCTCTTACTGGTTAGGAGGAATTCTTGAAGAAATGGGCTTTTTAAAACATATAGGCTGTGTCTAGATTGGCAAGTTTTTCCGCAAAAGCAGCTGCTTTTGCAGAAAAGTTTGCCAGCCGTCTACACTGGCCGCTTGAATTTCCGCAAGAACCCTGACTTCCTACTGTAAGAAATCAGTGCTTCTTGAGGAAATACTATGCTGCTCCCGTTCGGGCAAAAGTCCTTTTGCGCAAAAGCTTTTGCGCAAAAGGGCCAGTGTAGACAGCTCAGATTTGTTTTGCACAATAAAGCCCCAATCACGAAAATGGTGATCAGGGCTTTTTTGCGCAAAAGCGCCTCTAGATTGGCACGGACGCTTTTCCGCAAAAAGTGCTTTTGCGGAAAAGCATCCGTGCCAATCTAGACGCTCTTTTCAGCAAATGCTTTTAACGGAAAAGTTTTCCGTTAAAAGCATTTGCGGAAAATCATGCCAGTCTAGACGTAGCCATAGGCTATGTCTACACTGCTGGCTTCTTGCGCAAGAGCATGTCTGTACCTCAAAGTGCATCGCAAAAGTGATGTGCTTTTGCACGAGCGAATCCACACTGCATGGACACTATTGCTCAAGAACGCCCTGATGGCCATTCTTAGAATAGCCATCACAGCACCTGTGCTTTTTCCCAAAACAGAGTGTCCATAGTTGCCTTTTTGTGCGATAGCTATAGCACAAAAGGGAGTTATGCCTCATAGAAGGAGGTTTACCTACACCGGCAAAATCTGTCTGTTCTGCCATTTTACTGCTGATTTACTTGTGGAGTGGGCACTTTGCAGATTTTTGCTCAAAATGGCCATTTTTGTGCAAAAATCTTGCAGTGTAGACAGCCATAGAGATGATACAAGCACATATCCAGAGAGAGACTGCTGTCACTTGGAGGCCTACCAGTATAATATAGATAGGCAGTGACCATTTGCTCTTCTTTTACTTCCATTAACTGCAGCCAAATATTTTTCTGAAATACCATTTCTTTGTTAAAAAAAAGTAATGGGGCGGAGGGGGGGCACTCTCTCCTTAGAGCTTATTATGTGGGAATTTGAAAAAGCACTTCGCAGTGGTCTAAGTCTGCTCCCCTTAGCATCCAAGCTAAAACTCCCAGGAGAAAGAGAGTTAGGTCAATTCTGAGCTCTTGTCAAAATCCCACCTATTAGTAACTACTTTTTTCCTGCTTTCTATTGAGTGGAGAGCTCCTCACCTATGATAGTTCGTGATTGGTCATGTCTAAATGAGATAGACCTAAGTCAAAACCCCAATGCTCAATGCATCTAGCTCAGATCCTTAAACCAGAAACTCAGAGTTGTGCCTAACTCCATTGCCTATAGAACTAAAGAAAATAGCCTATGTTGACTGTTAGTGCCAACATCATGTCTTAGC